GCAGAGCGGCCCTGCTGCAGCGGCCTCACGACTGTGCAGGGGCCAAAACGCGGACGTCTGAGAAGGCACCGGCTCCGGGAGAGTGGCGGGAAATCCGCGGCATCAGTGATGGCGCCGCGGTGGTGGGCGCAGTTCCGCTGGAGTGGCTCCGCTGCGGCGGCACCACACATATCCACAACCACCTCTTTAATCTGGGCCCGTTCGGGTGTGCCCACTCGGTATGCGGGGAGTTTAATGGGTCGGGCTGCACCTGTGTCAATTTAGTGCTTGACGAAGTCTGTCCGGCCAACATCCGAATCGTGCTCACTAAACACGTCGGCGTACTCCTGTAGTTCCCCTCGCAGCTGATCGGCCTCCACCTTGGTTAAATCTGCCCAGGGTACCTGCAGCGCGTCAAGCAGGAGGACGACCTCTGCTCTGGGGGTGGGGTCGACCCGCCACACCAGGTCCTGGTTGTCCTCGGGGCAGCAGGAGTCCTCAGCCCAGAGGGCAAACAACGAGCCACTAGAGTGGCGCACGTGCAGGGGGTACACTGTGGCTACTGTGGTGTGCCGTTGCAGCATTCCTCAGGTACTGTGGGGGTTAAAAACTCGCAAAAACAGCCGGCCCCCATCAGCATTTACCAACGTGGCTGACCCTACAACCCCATACCGTGCCGCCAACTCCAGGTGAGGAGTCAACATTACCTCACCCGATGGCCGGTGAGACGGGTCGGTGGGGGGCATTGCTACCGGCAACAGCATCTCCGCGAGCGGGCCGACGGTGATGGCCGACGCCAGCATCGCGGCCACGGACTCGAAGCAGGGGTGACCCAGCTCCTGTCCTAAGAACGGAATCCGCTCCCCGCTGCCCTCCATGGTGGCGCATCGCTGGCGGGGCTGCACGTTGAGACCCAACTTTTCCAGGAGGTTGGTACCTGCAATGCACTCGTGGCATAACACGCTCGACACGTAGAACTCCTGGGTACACACTTGGTATCCGAGGTAGACCTCAAGGGTGACCCTCCCCAGCAGTCCTATTCCAGCGCCACTTGCAGAGTGCAGCGCGCAATCTGGGGCCTGTAGGCGGCCCACGTCAACCCCAACCATGCTGCAGTGTGTTGCGCTCTCAAGTGAGGCTACCGCCCCTGTGTTCAGCAGAATCCGGGTACGCCGCCTGTTTACCTGCCCTTCCACCAGCGACGTGGCCCCCATGATTTCTGCCACCAGCTCCCATAGCCAGTCACCCGCAGTCGCCGCGTTCTTGAGTTTTGTTGTCGGCATCTGCGTGGGGATCACTCACTCACCATTATCATTACAGTTGATTTGTTTTGGGACCACGTCGATTGCACCCCTCGGTAGTCCCCTCTCCGGGGAGGCCTTAGCGCGTGTAGCGGGGGCGATCTGGGGACAGTCTCTCACGAGATGCCCCCATTGGTTGCATATATAGCACGCCTGGGGAAGGGTGGTGGCTCGATAAGAGGCCCCTTGCTCACTCCCCCTTCCCCTCCCAGTGAGCATTTGTTCAAGCTCTGCCTCTAATTGAGACACTCGCCCAGTTATCCCCCTACCGTGGAGTGTAGTCCTCCCACCTCGGATTGGACCACCTCCACTGTGGACTGCAGCTTGTTCATATTTCTGGTCACCTCCTCACTTACTTGGGTCACCTTCCCAAATACATGGGTCACCTCGCCATATACTCAGGTCACCTCCTCGCGTGCTTGGGTCACCTGCTCGCTTACTTGGGCCACCTCTCCACGTAAATGGGTCACATGGCTGACTATATCTCCTATCCCGGTCTGTAGCCCTGCCACCCATCCTGGGGTTGTCTTACGGGGTCCCGGAGGCCCCCTTACCCTCCACCTCACCGTCCTGGCGAGCTCCCCCTCCTTTTCCTCCTCTGGAAAAAGGCTTGCAATAGCACGCTCCCGTCCCAGCCCTCGGAACGACGGGCGTTCACGAGCAAATCTCTCCCACACGTGTGCACGCTCGACAAGGGTGTTAAGTAGGGGATACGGGCAGTTCGCATCTGTCTGCTCCACCATGCCGTGCTAATCGATAACTGCTGCACTTTCTCGGCGGTGAGGTCATCAATGATCTTGGTAGCGTACCCCAGGCATGCACTCTGTGTAAGTGAGCACATGTCCTCGGCATAGCTGCGGAGGTCCTCGCCAGGCTGGCGATGGCGTGCATTTAATGCTGCCTTTTCCTCCTGCCGGTCACACGCGCCGAATCGTTGGCCGAGGCGGTGCATTAACTCCCCCAATGTGCTTGCGCGCTTGCGGGTAAGCACATTGGGGGCTGCCCGCCCATCCAAATTAATATTTAGCTGTTGCAACGCTTGCGCGTCCGTCCAGCCATCAATATCCTTAGCGTGAGGTTCCGGGCAAACGATTTCCATGATGGTATTCCTTGCCCGGTAAACACGTACCTTACCTTCGCTTGGGGTGGGGCGCCTCTTTCCCTTGGAGGTGTGGGGAGTCGTACCACCTCTGACACCAATCTGCGAGGGCCGACGTACCACGACTAGTGCTGTAGCGGCGGCGCGAATGCTCGCACTTCTGCGGGCGATTATTTTAATGAGCTCGTTCACAGTAATCTCTTTAATGAGCTCGTTCACAGTAATCTCTTTAATGAGCTCTACGCTCGCTCTCACGCTGGTGCGACGCGATGCGATACGACCGCACCCACGCCTGCAGCGCTCTCCTCTCCGCACGCGCGCCCCCGCTACTCACACTAATGTAGCGCACCGCACTGAGCGTGACGCTAAATGGCTGTGCGAAAGCGCGCGAACGTCTGCGAGTGGTTATATGCTATTCCGCCTCCACGCAAATGCTAGTGTTAAACGGCTGCGCGAATATGCGCATCGGCCGGTGGTTGTATCCCACACCGCGTCCAAACAATGACTAATGCTACAGCAGCGGCGTGAACACGCGCGCACCTGCTGACGTTTATATTCTCACATGCGCATCCCCCACGGTTAGCACTACAGCAACGGCGCTAACACTCACACACCTGCAGGTGATTAATTTAACGAGCGCACGTACTGCGGCTCTGTCCTCGCCGCTCGTCCGCCCAAGCAGCTGCCCCACACACACACACAAATCACACTGCATGGATAATCTGTTAACGTTTATTCACTGCGTGAATACACACTACCTGAAGGGAATATTTTGCAAGAACAGCCTAACTCTGCCTACGTACCCAGTCACTCAAACGTCCTACCATGTACCTCTCAAAGGTGTACTCACGGTGTCGCACGGACGCTGTGAGAGTCGGAGGAAGGACGAGGGAAAACTTTACCTATCACTGCCTTGTAGCAACACTCGCTAGCATCGCACGGATACCGCAAGCGGCTCAAGGAGGCAGGACGGCAGGGAGTGGGTCTGGAGGTTGAAGACAAGAGACCGAAAATCAACCTGGGCCACTCTTTTTATTCCTTAAACTTCAAATGCCCAGGGTGGCGTCGCACCGCGCAGCCAATCGTGCACTTACCTGCACAGTTTCGCCTTTTTTCTTCTCTACCGCGGCCTAATCCCCTCACTTCAAATGGCCGGGATGGCGTTTGTCCCGCGCGACCAATCGTGCGCCTACCTGTGGTTATCGCCCCCTTGTTACCACATCCTTCCTCGAGTGCTGCCGCGGCTGCGCCGGCCACCCATTGTCCCTCATTGCCCATTGTCTGGCAGGGCGATCGGCTTACACTTTTCTTGCTTAATATTCCACACTCCGTCCTCCTCCGAATGTTGTAATGCATTGCGGTTGGCCCAGTGAACCTTTTCTTTCTGTGCCCATACAATTTTCAGCCAATTTTAGGGGCACCGCAGTGTAACCTGTCCTGCGGGGGTCAGCTAATCCCCTGGCACCGGGAAACTGTGGGACTTCCCCTCTAGGGGGCCTTCGGATTAAAACCTGAATGTGCCAGGCAATCCCCCGCCAGGACACTACGTGTGTGTGCTGCGTATGGGTGTGTGTTGAGTGCAGGGGCCGGGAGTGAGTCGCGGTGCTTGCGGAGTTGCTCCGCGGTCATAGCACCACACACGTCTCGTACTCTGCTCAGGGAACACGCTTCAGATCCAGTTATCTCGTTCCGCGTCAGTCTCTGGTCTGACTTTCAACTGTCCTTCGCCTGTGGCTTGGTGAAGTACTGGGCTCAGTCACGAATGGTGGATGCCTCAGGTCTCCTCTCGGAGAGGTTGACTTTTATCGGAGCACAATAGGAACGACCTTCGCACAATAATCGTCTGTGAAGGCTGTATAAAGCGACCTCGCCACTGGAGGCAGTCTCGTTCACAGTAATCTCCTCTACGTTTTGTATCGCAATGCCGTGAGTGCAAGCCTTTGCTTTGCAGTGACTCCCCCAATTGTACGTATAAAATAGAAGAAAAAAACCTAAACCTTCCCGTGATGCGTAGAGTCTGTCAATGCAGAGCTCCCTATTGCCAGTCACGAGGGCAAGTCCCGGAGTCTGCCTGGAGCAGATCTAGTTTGTGTGGTTTGGCTTCCTCCTGATATCTGATATTTTTCCCACATCTTGCTTCCTTCTCACAAAGGGTCGGATGTTCCTTTAATTTCGCTCCAAGCCTGGGTTTGTAATGATTATCTGCCCTTATCCAGATCCCGTTGTCCTGTGGAGGCCCATTTTTCGCCGTGGTTCTGTAATTGTTCCTCCCCGCGCTTTGTCCTACCATTAACCATTTGACTGGTTGTCCCTGCCCTGTGTCATTTCCATCTATTGTCTGCCATGTATTGTCTCGTTTACTGCTGTTTTCCCTGAGAAGCGTATTCCGGGGCTTTGACGTTGACGTCCTTGAGCAGATCGTCGTAGCCGTTCTTGCACAGCTCGTTCAGTGACTCAATGGTGCAATCGACAAGCCGCATCACATTGACAACGTCCTGGTCCTCTTTCTGCAGCACCACGTGCAAATCGTTCATGATCTTAAGCAAGCGCTCCATCAGGTGCAGGCAGAACGCGAACTTAAACGAGAACATGTCGTTGAGAAGGCGATGAGCTTCGACCCGTTACTCTGCCTTGGCGCCGTCCTCTTCCACGTTCTGGATGACGGCAGTCGCGTTGAACATCTCAATCAGGCGGTGCAGCAAGCGCCAGAAAGACGACCACCTCATGTTGCCCGCCGCCGACAACGCTGTCTCCTGATTCTGACCGCGGCCAGTGGAGACCGCCAGCTCATCGACCAGGTCGTCGACGAGCTTCTTGTGCTCGGCGAGCAGTTGGTCGTTGCGCTTGCACGAGCTGGTGGCAGTGTGGATTATGTCCTGGACAAGGTCAAAGAACACGGCAATGTCGGTGACACCATTTGTGCAGGCAGTGACGAGAGCGAGCTGCAGCTTATGCGCCCAGCAATGCGTGTAGTAGGCCATGTCGTTCATGGCCTTGATCAAGGTCTGCAAGCCAGCGATCTCACCGCTCATGCTCGACGCGCCATCGTATCCTTGGCCGCGGCAGGTCTCAATAGGGCGCTCGCGACTCGAGAGCAGGTTGACAATAGCGCTGCAGAGGGTGGGCGCACACGTGTCCGGCACGTGCTGAATGTCGACGAGTCGCTCGCGCAGGATGCCCGTACTGACCTCGACAAAGTGGTTGACGAAGACCAGCTGCTCCTTCTTGCTGACGTCACGTGACTCGTCCGCCATGATGCAATAGTATGCGTCGCCAATCTCGGTGTCGAGGCGCCGGCGCACCAGTTGAGCGTGAGCATGGATCAGGTCCTTCTGAACGTCGGGGCTGGTCATGGTCGCATTCTGCGGCGCGTTCTCCCAGGTGATGGCCGCAAGCAGTGCGTCGCGTTTGCGTAACATGTTGAGAATCTCCAGAAAATTGCCCCGGTTAAGAGAGCCAGGCGACTCGTCATGTCCCCGCATCGCAATGCCCTGGTTCATGCAGACATGCATGACATCGACGGAGGCGTCCAGGCGCTTGCGGTTGCCATCAATAGTTTTGGCGTTCTGTCGGGCCAGCCCAGCATCGCCCGTGATGACATGCTGCCAGGCGTTGAGAAGGTCCCTGGCCTTCTTCACGGCGATGTTGTGTGCCGACTTGTGCCCACCCTGATGCTTGAGTAGACTGCAATTCTTGCCACCGATCTTATTCCAGGTTGAGAAGCTGGCGGAGTAGATGAATGCCGACGCAACGTTATCTGTGGGAAGAGGTAGCAATAGGTAGCAATAGAAGCAGTAAACAGACTCACTGATGAACGAATACTCGAGCCAGTCGAACTGAACAAACAAAGACGCCGTCGGGCGGCGGGCAGCGCCGCCAACGAACTTGGATGGATATTTCAACATCCCGGTCAGGCCAGGTTGCGGAGCCAGAGGCGGTACGAACCGTCCCGCTTGCAGATACGCGTAGCACAATACTTCGACGTCACGATCCAGAGCGCGAACAGGCCGTAGCTGTCGCTCTTACTCATCGGACTGTGGCGAAATCCGTTCTTCATCCGGCAGCGGCGAAGGCGAACGATCACGCCTCCGCTGAAGGGCAGGCTCATCTTGCGCTTCAGGAGCAGGCCGAGGACGACGCGCTAAGAAATCGGCTATACCCCACGCCATCGGTTGGCGACACACTCTGACAATGCAGTTGCACGGAGTCCGCCAGACCAAGTGTCATACACTTATACGCAGAATGTTTCAGATTTTCGATTTTTTCGGGGGTGACAATTGTCTACCCTGTCACCCCCTGGCTCCGCGCCTGATCTTGATTTGAGGCTTTTGTGACTGCAGGAATCCATACTCTTTGGTTCTTTCGGTAAAGTCACGTATTTTTCTAGCTACGTAACTTTACCGAAAGAACCAAAGAGTATGAATGCATATATAATACAGAGTTACCACATTCTCAGAATAAAAAAATATATTTAGGTGTAGCTTGTAATCTGGTAGATCTGCACGTGTCTATATTTATATAACTGTATCTACATCGGCCATACGTTTCAGGTGCGTCTTACTTTCCAGAGTGTCTTAAAATTCTAAGAATACGGTTTGTGTTGGTGGTTCGACAAAAAGACTGTAAAATGTATGTCAGCAGAATGTTTTTTGTCACACTGTATGCACCTCAGAAGGTGATACTGGTATAGCGAGATAGTAAACATCTCCCCTGATAGCTCAGAGAGCATTATTTGCACTCTTGAGGAACAACATTTTAATTCAGAATCTTTTTTTGTTGTATTGTGGTAAAAAGTAACGTCTGACAAATTCCAAAATACATTTTACAAATCGAATATACTATAATCCCTATGTACAATACAGTACTGTATATGATTATCCACAGTTGTTTTGGGATAGGCAACATTATAGTTTTATGCCAACATTCTTGTTATTAACCTTCCACCACCTAACAAGATTTCTAAATTTACTACGATTTTATTTATACCTGCCAATGTATTGATCAAATTCAGACCAACAGAGCTCAAAACTGAATTTGTCTATGTAAAATTGCATGTAATGTGAGCATATATAATGAATTGAAGCATCATTACACCCCAAATAAGTCACACTGGCATTGATTGCACATTGATTGCAGATTTGTGAAAATCTCAAATTTGCAGGCTGCAAGGTGACCATAGGATGGTCATATAGCAAGTTGGTCCATGAACTCATCTATGCAGACAATCGAGGATCACTTTGTTGTTCACATTGTGTTTTCTTCAAGAACTTTGGTTTCCTCCTCCACACAAAACACTCCCCAACACAAAACTGGCCAAACATCTCAATGTCGGAACCTCCTAAGCGATAGTTTTGAGACTCAGTGAGGCTTTTTTTTAATACATGAATAGTGTAAAGTCAATCGAGATACTGTAGGCCATCCAATTATTGTTCCAACTCAAGTTGTTCGTGGCTAACAGTTTCCATTGATGTAGCACTTCTGCTTCATAATTGGCTAATGGCTATGGCAGCCCATGGTAACAAATTAAAATAGTGATGGAAGTTAATACAATCATCGCAATCAATGCCTGTGTTTTTGTATTTGCTTCAATATCCTCACAAAACTTGGATCATGTGTTTAGAATATCATTGTGTTATTTTATTTTATCAATTTATTATTTTATTCTCATTCTACGTGACTTTACCAAAAGAACCAAAGAAAATGAATCATTGCAGTCACGAAAGCTTTAAATCGAAATTTAAACATGTGTTTAAAGTTAAGCCATACAGATTTAGCTTTAATGACCCTTTGCTGAATTTAAGGCATTACATTTAACAGCAAAAGTGTTACGCAATTTGTACATGCATCTTGAGAGCAGCCATCTATTAAATAATAGATTGCCTCTTAGGGAAGAGTGCGGTGGACACCGCCACATATGCAGCATTAACGCGAGGCATCGTGGAGTGCTTTTGGGCGCATCACAGGAATGACTCACAGCAGTGCTGCAGCTACCAATACAAGCCCAGCACCTCTCAAGCAGCAATTGTAACAATTCACTTTCTTATGAATTTGCTCCACAAAAAGCAGATGAGTTCGCTAATCGCCTGTTGAAATATACTCGTTATACTTATTCAAATTCACAACATATAAAAAGGTAAGCCTTATGTTCACTTTTTAATGCAAAGCATTCACTTTTTAATGCAAAGCATTCGCAATATAGTACAGTATCTTGTTTTTGACCATAGTGATCCTAGTATATGTGCATAGACAACATATAAATGAAATGATATGGTGTTTATCGATGCAACTGTATGTTCATGGGATATTGACGATGACTATACATTACTAATGCATTACTTGGTGCGTGAAATGCTGTTGCATACACATGTCTACCTAACAATGAGCTCTAGGTAAGTGGGATAAAGACATATCTCAATGGGTTCTTAGTTGAGTAAATAAAAAAATACATTTCAAATCAACTGTTAATATCAACACATCTCTTAGCAACTCAGTTTTCTGTAAATTCATATTATCAAAAATGTGCAAGTCTGATTAATTATAGAGATATCATTGACACTAAACACGAATATCGAAATGCACAATGCTGTACTGCATTATATTGCATACCTCTGAGATATTCGGTATATCACGTCTGGAACTCTCAAATTTAAGGTTTTACAGCAATTACATTCAACAAATAATCGCTGCAAGTCATAAATAATGCAGTGGAACATTGTACTGTACAATCTACATACATATCCTCATCTTGACCAAGCGTGCCAGACACAAAGCTTGAGCAAAAAAGAGGAAATCAAAGCACATCATAATGCACAGGTCATGTCAGACTGACTCAAATGTAGGAAGAGAGCAGGTGTCACAAAGCACAGGGTTGTCTGGTAAATATTTCAGATGAAACTGACAAATATTTAAATGAGTTATGCATTGGCTAACAGTACAGTGAAGAAAAAATACCCCACATGTGTATGGTAGTGTATAATGGTTTCATGATTATCAAGACCAAACACGAATTACACAATGATAGGCCTACCACAAGAACTAAAAATAGCAAGATTGCCACGATGCACCATACGGAATAGTGGTTAAGCCACGTACAAGCTAAGTCAGTTAAATGTCAGATTAAAATCGTTATTATTTTAATTCGAAATACTATATTTTAAGAAAATAAAAAATATGGCATGTATAATTAGAACAGGCGACAGTCCAAAAAGAAATATTGATTAGTATGCTGTATTTTAAAAGTAGGCTTTAAAAATAGAGTTACATCTTTAAAAAACAAAGTAAGAGAAAGAAGTGGTTTATATATTTACATTATGCATGAGAAATAAACATAACACTACCATGATATGCCATGCTGGTATGAGTTATATCAGATTGATATCGCACAATATATTCAAGTAACATGTTATGATGCCACGCCAAGATATGTCTCAGGCATTGGTACAATTGAAAAACACAAAATAAATTAAAAGTCCCTGGTTTGCAACATATTAAGTAAAACGATCCCTTGGCACAGGTTATAACACTGTGACCACTTTAATCAGATTTCTAGATTGGAAAACGTCCTGGGAAGTCATCTGCTCAAAAGAGGCTATTGCAAAGTTCAGTGAACATCGTCGGCAAGGTGAAAACAATGGTGGCCAGGTTCCCCACCATGTGGCTCCAGCCCTTGCTTCAGCAAAATAAAACTATTTGTTTAAAAAAAGATTAATCATCTGCTGGATGGGGTTGTTTGACCGCACTTCACCAGGCTGGTGAGTGTGGGTTGGTGAATAGGAAGGGACCAAGACTGGTTGACATTTCACTCGCCTCAGATGTTGGATGGGAAATTGGTTCATGCTGTAACTATTGGGAATTTGGAATGCACTGTGAACCTACTGAACTTTAATTTCAGGACATGGATAAAAGGAGAAATTTGAGATTTAATCCATCCCAGGCTTCTCTTCATTCCCAAATTAACATTTTGCTCTCATATCATCTACAGAATATAAAGAATTTATTTAAAATGTTACTGGACGATGACATTTTTATCTCCACAACCAACACTTCAAGTCAAGAAAATGTCATATCAACTGAAGCTCCACAGCCGAACACATTCAGTCTTGTACAAAACACAATGTTACCACCCATAAAAAATGGATCACCTTTCAAAATTCCATGTGAGTACTGCATTTATGTATGTATATTCGTTGAACCTCTTTTGCACCGTACATAGCCAATCATGCTAATCGGAGGTGGCGAGAAGGACAATAAATAAAAGGTTACAGTAAAAAGTAGAGTAAAAACAACAACAAAATTAAATTGATAGACATTTTCATGACATCTATAAAACAAGTGCTTTCGATTTGATTCCTTGAGAAAGTTGCGTGCCAGTCTGCGCGTTGAAGTGTGCATAGCATGTGTTATATCACGAATGGCAACAAATCATGGGAGTGCGGCACCAGGTCTCGTCCAAAACATCATGACACCGTTATGTAAACCCTGCACTTTGACAGGGATAACTAATCAGACTATGATTAGTGCCCTCTATTAACATCCCCTTTGAGTGCCCTTTAGTAGCAACACAGATTGTGGCATATTTTACCTCGTAGCAGAGGCTAGTAAAAAGTAACTACCCACAAAATGTAAGTCATAATATCGACCACACAGAGATGATTACATCATTTGGCCCCAAAACGGGATTTTAGCGTCATGCCTTACAATGGCGAGTCAAGTACTGTACTCTATCCCCAGCAACATTTGGCTGGCTATTACAGTATACTACTTAACGCTGGATTTTAATAAAAACCCTGCTGACAAGCTGTGATATGGGGACAGAAAAAACACGCTGTGATAAATCACAAAGCTGGACACACATTAAGTGACAGAGATTGTATGGCATATGAACAGTCGTGCCAATTATTGTATTAGTGTGTGTAATGTATTGTTATCATGACATGCGTTGTGCTGTTTCATTTTTGCTATAACGGGTAGGGTCATTGTATCAGTGCTTTTAATGTATTAGCTTGATATTCATTGTCCTGTTTCACTCTATAGTCCCGTACTGGATGTTGATCACGAGCGCTGCTGTAGCTGCGTTGTTTTCGCTCGTCTGCTGCTGTTGCATTTGGAAAAGCTGCTGCTCAAAGAAAAAAGAAAAGGAAAAGAACACTTTAAAATTAAAAGAGCCCAAAAAACCCAAGATGTTCAAAAATAAGGTAGAGTACATTTTTATACATGTTATTCATTAAATTAATATTTTATTCATCTTTAAAGTAAAGTACATTTTCTGCAGACTTTATAGGAGAAACATCTTTTTTGCAGTCAACGTTATAAATATTATTGGCAAGAGCACTCCATATACTAGACAGATTTCACCACAACATGCATACCATTATGGATAATAAACCGTTCTCGATTTGTTTCTCAAGATACAAATGAAATATATTAAAGTCATCGTCTTATGGACTTCCTAGACCAATATTATCCGACTGATAATGACACCCAAGAGGTCAATACTAGTCGATTTTTCTCGTTTAAACATTTTATCCTGGAAACTATTGGTCTTGAAAACCAAGCATTTTGAACTGTATCTGGACAGCCAGACGGAGGTCTGTTTTTATGTTATTACCCATAATGCCACAACATTGTCATGTGATGTTTTATTATTGGTGTTCACAGGTGCAGCCAGACTTGGAAGACATTGATCCTGGCTTCATTGAAGACATCTATAAAGAAAACACTCTTGGACGTCTGCAATTCTCGCTGGATTATAACCTAAAAACAAGCCAGGTACCACAGCAGCCTGAACTGCTGTAACAGAAAAAATATTTGCATTGCATTCCTACAGCCTCTGGTATTCAAAATATGTTTACATTTGGATACATTGTGTCTTGCTATATTGATCATCTCTGCACTGCAATTTTATAACAAGTCTTATTATTACTAGTATAAACTGTTTCTCTCTTCGAAATCTTCAAGTCAATGTGATTAAGCTATCGCCATAATTATTAAACCCATGTGTAGTGACATAGCGCTGACTGTTGTACAGCAGCTGCAACTGCAGGTGGGCACTTAGCGCACACGCTGCTGAGCATATACGCAGGTGTGCCGACAGGGCGGAGGAACTGGAGCTAGGGTCATGGTAGATCTCGTGGGGAAGCCCCTGGAACCCTCTGGTGGGTTCGAGAAGGGAGGCGCGGCTAGCGTGGAGCCAAGCCGGGCTGCCGGTTCTGGGATTGGACTCGTCTCGTCGTCACTGTCATCATCGCCGCCCTCATCGCTTCCGCCTTCGCCCGATCATTGCGCGGCCGGACAGTAGTTGGCTGTCCAGGTCGACGCCGTCGGTGCAACGCAGAGAAGGTCGTGTCTGGGATGGGTCGTGCGGCAGCACGGTCGTGAGAGAGAGGGGGCCCGAGAGGTGGCGTAGACTCAACAACAATAAAAGGGGAGGACGGTGCCTCCTGCGACCAACTCGTTTCCGACTAAGTGTGTGTGCGACACACACCACCCGCATGCACACAAAAGCCTCGAGCGTCGAGCAAGAGAACGATAAGAAGAGATGCATGACACTACACATGCATCATTCCACCCTTAATGGATTCATTATAAAGTCTCTCACTTGTTTAAAGGAATGTATTTTTACAAAAAATGTTAGCTATTTTAAATATTGTATACCTTGGAAGTGTTGGGTAATTTCACACTTTTTTTTCACTCATGCTTCCCTACCTCTAAAAACTTCAGCATGATGTCCTTTCCAGACTTTAGCAAACATAAGTTTACTTTTTTTTCCAGGTCACAGAGTTGTGTATGTGTTATCCTAACAAAAACTATTGTTTTTTTCGGTTGCAGTTTACTGTGGGAATCTTGCAGGCAACAGACCTCGCAGCAATGGACATCGGAGGCATGTCCGATCCATACGTTAGAGTGTACTTACTCCCTCACAAGAAAAAGAAATTTGAAACAAGTGTGCACAGGAAAACTTTGAACCCGATATTTGAGGAAAAATTTACATTTACGGTAAGATTGGAACTGCTTACAAATATATAGCAGTTTTAAATTATAGCAAGGATATGAACATCTGAAATTAACGTTCTTATGACATACTCAGCTATTAAAATGGATCACCGAGTGGTGGTTTGGCTGTACATCATCTAGAAATGCATTTGCATTTAATGCCAGTTCAAACCAAATTGTATTATACTCTACTCTACAAAATGAATTATTTCAATACTTTTATATTTTATGTGGAGAGATGGATATGTGGATACACTGTCTGCTTATTTATGTTGTTACTTGTATTCTCTACAACAACACTCATGATTTTTGTTATTGTGGAACATTTCAGATCATTGCCCCACCAGTAATTATCTCATTATATTTTCACATTGTGCATGCATGATCTGTATTCCTGCTAAATGTATCACATTGGGAAAGTGTATTATTTATTATCATTCTTGTTATGTTTGTCAACCCAGAAAATCCTGAGTCTCGTGATTGCTAGGTTTTCACAGTAGGAGGCAATAATTGCTATGTTTATAAACTGAACAATTTAGACAGTGACACTGGAACACAATGGCCTGCTCTTGAAAATTACGTCACTAATCTTGTTGCAAACTGCGAATAAATGCATGGTAAAGATCCAGGGCACCTGCTGGATTCGAACTGGAAACCTCTGCAACAAATGGCGAGAGTGCTATTACTCCGCAATTTAAGTTTTGGCATTATATTTTCACTAGGTAGTAATTTGCTGCGTATCCTAAATTTTACGTTAAAGGCATGTACATCGAATACATATCCTGCTACAATGATCATAACCAGAAAAAAAAACATGACACATCAAGGAATGTCCTCTAAAATCTACAATGATTACTTCAAGAGGCACTTTAATAGGCTACTTCCAACTTAACCACAACACATTCATATGTACATGATACGTTTGGTTGTAGTGGCTATGCTCCAGTTTTGTACTAAATACTTTGTTATGTGTTGTATGTCTGGCAGGTTCCTTTTGAAGAGCTTGTGGAGCGGGTGTTGGTAATGGTGGTTTATGACTTTGACAGATTTTCCAGACATGATATAATTGGAGAACTGAGAATACCTTTGAGCTCAGTGGATTTATCACACTCAGTAGAGGAATGGCGAGATCTACAAAAAACTGAGAAAGATGATGTAAGTAAAACAATCTCACACCAGTATTCATTTATTTCAAATCTCACAACAGTCCTAATTTAGACATGAATCCTTGTAAAAAGGTTTCAGTTTTGTTACCAGAAAAAAGGGGAAAAACCCTATTATTACATTTTGGTACTGGCAAAGGAGGTCTAATGATGTAGATGCTCACCCCGAGCCCTCATTACTTTGATGGTGCATTGTCTTTGAGCTATACGCCTTTTGGCGTCATCTGGTCGAGCACCAATTGGGTCGAGGCTCAAAAGAAAGCCGTCCCTTGGTGTGGACCAATCAATTTCAAGGACAATGCATATATTATCATAGTATGTTTTTTGTTTGAATTTTGACTGCAGGTATTGTGGTTAATTCAGACATGAATCCTTGTAAAAAGGTTTCAGTTTTGTTGCCAGAAAAAAGGGGAAAAACCCTATTATTACATTTTGGTACTGGCAAAGGAGGTCTAATGATGTAGATGCTCACCCCGAGCCCTCATTGCTTTGATAGTGCATTGTCTTTGAGCTATACGCCTTTTGGCGTCATCTGGTCGAACACCAATTGGGTCGAGGCTCAAAAGAAAGCCGTCCCTTGGTGTGGACCAATCAGTTTCAAGGACAATGCATATATTATCATAGTATGTTTTTTGTTTGCATTTTGACTGCAGGTATTGTAGTTAATGCAGACATGAATCCTTGTTAAAAGGTTTCAGTTTTGTTGCCAGAAAAAAGAGGAAAAACCCTATTATTACATTTTGGTACTGGCAAAGGAGGTCTAATGATGTAGTCCTAATTTATGTCATAACCATCATACAGAATACTTGTGGCAGTCAGGTTCAGAGAGATCCCTTCCCCTATAGGATTTTAAGAAGGAACACTGCTGTAAATGTAATTATTTTATTAAATCTTTAGCACTTTTGTCTACTGCAAGATATTGTGGATGGGTTTGGAAATCTAAATGATTTTGCACCCAATCCATGGAATATTTTTACCTCCATGGTCTTTGTACAAGATGTTAGTCTTTTGTGTTTCCATGACCAGTGCTAACTTTGTTTTGCTGGGCAAGGGTTTCCATGAGCAGGGTTCAGGTTTCACAACTGTGAGCCATAAGGCTCCATGGACTTGGCCTCAGATATCGAAGTGTGGCAAACAACTATCAGAAACTAAGGGTAGGTGGTCTTACCCAAAGCAGCAATGCCTGCTATTTATTACATGTATAGTGCAGTCCAACCATGCAGAGCCGAGGAATTCTATAAGGGCTGGTAGCCGTTTATTAACACGAGCTCTCACACTGCATCTTACACTCACACCAGTGTAGGTGCCCTCTATTCTCCGTCCTTCACTTGGACCTGGCATAACTATACACATCAGAGCTACTCCGGCTACCCCTAGGATCCCTCGAGAATACTATTAGGCTCTCTTGTCCATCTGCCTGGGGCGGGGGATCAGACAACACTGCCCCCACGACGAGGAGAGAGACCTCTTACAGCCGTTCTTCACCTTGGCTCCCCACGACGACCACATGTCCCTCACGTGGTTCCCCTTAAGAACTGTCTCGGTAACTCCTCCCCCGTAGCTCGGCCCCGCCCACTTTCTGGAAAGCACTTCCGAACGTCCCCGTACATGGCCCGTGACGTTACGTCATCCTTGGCCTCGCATAGCTCCCCATCCACTTGACCTTCCTTATGCTCATCCCTCATTGGCTACTCACAGTACACCTATACACATGTGTAGAGGACATATTTCACATATGCTCTACAAATGTATATACAAATGTATACATGTGTAGTGGTGTTACAGGACAAACACACGTCGGTTACAGCTGTAGTGGTGTTACGGGACAAACACACATCGGTTACAGCTAGCACCCTTGGCTTACCCGCAGGGGGCTGTGGGCTTTGGATCCCCCGCACCCCTCCCAACGGGTGGGGGGCTGCGGGGTGTGCTGTGATCCCTCAGAACCCCGCCCCTCGGTGGTGAATTGGTATAAAAGACGGGGAGCCAGAGAGGGGCAATGTTCGCAAGCCGAAGTCCGATGACCCAGTTGAAGACTGAAGACCGGCTAGATAGACCCTGGAACTCCTCTGACCCGCTGTCTGTCTCAGGGCCGGGCAGAGCAAGCCAGCGGTGTGACCCCAGAGCCTCAGAATCGATGTCCTTCTAAGGGCCGGGTCTGTATGGCTGGTGGTCAGGACCTAAGCCTTGGCTGGGCCAGGTCAGGTAGCCTCCCTTAGAGCCCTTAGCGGAGGACCTGGGAGCGTAGGTGGATAGGCAGATAGCCTAGGGGTGTATCCCAGAATAGTATGGGTGAAGGGGCCATTACCCCTTCAAGTATTGTTTACATTGCCCTGTGCCAAAGTGTTGAGTTACAATAGTGTTGCCTCCACTTCGCCGTCTCTGTCAAGTGAGAACCCACTACAACTGGCGTCAGAAGTGGTCTTTATAAGTACTTACCATGGACACGAGACGGACAAATCGTACACGGGAGCACGGAGACGAAGACAACTCTGCTGGGACGGGACCGGCGAGCTTGGCAGAGGATGCTGAGGTTCCACAGGCGGCCCAACAGCCGCCGCAACAGCCGGAAGAGTGGCCGCCATCGGGAGATGGCCTCCGAGTGGCTCACTCCCGTCTAGCAGAGCTACTGTATGCCGCAGCCTCCACGCTGGAAGAAATTAATCGCGGAGGGCTGGGGGCGGGAGGACAGCGTGGTGATGACCGGCGGTCAACGGCCGTTCCCGCCATCACGACCACGTCACGATTTGAAATTGCCGCCATGGGCGGAGCTGGTGCTGGGGGCGGAGCCCTGGTGTACCAGGTGGACAACGGGGGCCAATCAACGGCCACTGCATCGTCACCAGTGGACGGGCACTGCCAGGACCAATCAGCAAGTGCCATGTCATCACCGGCGGATGGGCGCTGCCGGGACCAATCGGCGGGCACCACGTCTTCACCAGCGGACGGGCGCTGCCGGGACCAATCAGAGGGTGTCGCGTCAACAGTGGTGCGACCGCCGATAGGGACCGCCATTCCCTCCAGTACCACCAGCGACAGCGTTAACAGTGGGCAGCGGCTGTTGGAGACGGAGCCATCGTTCCAACAGCGCTTTGCCTGTTTTGAAAGAACTCACATCAGAGGGCGGCGACTGGGGAGCATTCAAGCGGCGTTTCCTCACCCACCAGGAAATGTCCAAGTGGACCGACGACAAGGCGCTGCGTGCACTCCCGGCGACATTGGATGATGACACCCTCGCCACCCTCATTACGACACCAAAGTCGGCGCGCTCTACGCTGCAGTCAGCACTCCGGCTCCTGGCTACGGTCTACGGTCCCCCATCCGTCTGTCGACACAATTTCCACGCCCGATGCAAGGGTGAGAAAGAGTTTCCCCTTGCGTACCGCATGGCTCTCCTGGCCCTCGAGAAAGCAGCTTTCCCGCGCATGGATTGCGAGGGTGTGGAAGCTATGGTTATAGAAAAACTTTTGGCGCTGGCACAGGAGCTGAAAATTGTTGTTCTCGCGGCGGACGACATGGACATATGTTCCTTGCGTGCTGCGAGAAACATCCACGGCGCACCTTCTGTTACAACGGCGGCCGCCTCTCGTCGCCAGCGCGTCAGCTACGGTATTCAGCGGAACGTCAAACATCCCCTCGTCGGAGGAGGTCTTTGATGCGGGTCGACCTGGAGAGTGGAGGTCCGGGGGACGACCGGCGCAGACCACGCCACGCCAACGGGAGCAGCAAAAGATGACAGGGGCACTCGTCACCTGCTACAACTGTGGCCTCCGGGGCCACGTAGCTTTGGGGTGCTGGGCTCCATGACAACGCACATTGGGTCCTCGGACGGACGACGCTCCATCACACAAGTCTCCGCAGCAACCTCCGTCAAGTCGCGGCACCACACATGCTCGGCCTGCACATACACCAGTCACGATTCCACGCATCGCAACAGACGGTTCTCGGGGTTCGGGCGTCGGTTCGTCGGGTTGCGTCGCGTTTGAGAGGGCGCTCCGACCAGGCCAATGGTCCGAGTTGGCTCACCGGGTTGTTGCTGCATCGGCTGGTTCGTCGGTCGTCACAGGTCACATTGATGAGGTTGAGGTTCGCGTCCTGGTCGATACGGGGGTGTCGGCGACGATCATGTCCGACCTTATTTATAACATCCTTTCCGTTCAATGTTGACCCTTGCTGGCGGTCGACATTCCATGCTTAGCAGCCAACGGGGGTTCGCTTGGTATAATTGGTCAGATTCGAGCTCAAATTTGCATTGGGGATATCAAGTTATACGGGCCGATTTTAGTCTCGTCCTCTCTCGCGGTTCCGTGCTTGTTGGGAACAGACTTTTTGGCCAAAATGCCAATTAAAATCCTAATTGACCAGGGATGCATTGAACTCCCTTCGGGCCGACGTATGACGTTCCTGTCTTCCCCTACTAGATTGCGGACGGCCTGTGCGACGGTACAGGCGCTCGTTACTCAGACGGTACGTGTGCCACCGGGCGCACAAATGCTCGAGCCCCTCTGGTTCCGTCAATCCTTTGCCGCGGGTATTTCGGATCACGGTTTCCTGTTGGGGCCGGTTAATGCCGCGGTAAAAGGGTTAGACCTGGTGGCTGCTCAGACGATGGTGAAGGGGAGCGGGGATCCCTTCAACATGGTCCTTAATGTTGGATTGCGGACGACTGTGGTTCCCCAAGGGACCATGCTCGTGCACGCGACACCGATACCCTTGGAGAAAACGGCCATAGGGCATGTGGGGGCCGCTCCAAAAACTTAGTCACATTCGGACCATGATGAAGGTTGGTTGGACTCGCTTTGTTCGGAGACCGATGACCTGTCCGACTCACAACGTGCCAGATTACGGAACCTTCTGCTTGAATTCTCGGACGTTTTCAGTAAACACAAATATGATATTGGATGCACCAACTTGCTGCGTCACCACATTGACACGGGTGGTGCCGCCCCGATCCGCCAGAATCCTTTTCGGTTGAGTCCCGCCGAAAAGGAT